GAACTAATTTTAGTTCTAAAAATAATTTAGTTCAAAAAGATAAAGAGTAAATGGAACTGATGAGATTGAAGTTCTACATTCCCAGTATTCGAAAAATCAAAGAATTGAAATAGATAGAAATAGATTCGTGTAGTCATTGCCGAATACATAATTTTTCAGATACTGGGTTGATACCGAGGAGGACATAATTAAATCTAATTCGACATTGTTCGTACAAATTACCGTTATAGTTTATGATGGGTATAAATAATTATTTGTTTAAAAAAAAGTTTATATCTTTCTTTTAAGACTACTCTATGCATTACTTCATCACGATCGATTTTTGTCTCGATACTAAATAAAACTTTGATAACCAACTTAATTCTCAATGTCGCGTAAAATTTTCGTAAAATCCGCGAAAGAAATTGTATAAATATGCCGCAGGAACAGCAGGTAAAAACAAATGTCTTTCCCATCGTTTTTTTGAAGATAAAAAATCGCAGATAGGAAGACATTAGTTTCAAGCATTCTGACAAAGAGAGCGATTTTAGGTTCTTAACTTGTACGATGTCTGGCATACTTGCAATAAGATACGAGCCGCCGTATTTCGCGTTGGACTCGATCTTTGGGAGTATTACAAGCCTCTGGATCCCGATAGACGTTTTTTAATATCAGGTATAAATATCGGACATTGGCACCGAGACGAGCGATCGCTTCAAGCACTTCTAAAGTTAGTTGTTGTGTGAGAATGTTTATTTCTGAACATTCTCGATGTAATGAAATTATTAATTTGAATTTCCATTATATATACTATTTTTTTTACTTATCCCTTCACAGAATGTTTCGAAATTATTGGATGTTTTTTTTAATACAGTAAAATTGATTTTATTTATTAGTTATAATTATAAAAATTGCTAAATTATTCACGTTTATATATATATATATATATATATATCTTACATTTATATTTCAATGTATGATTTTTAAAATTTGGAGTTAAAGTTATAAGTGAATGTTTGTGCAGAAAACAATTGATGCAGAGGTAAATAATAAATATTTGAATAATCTTAATTTTGCGATATGTAATTCATTGATTTAAACATATATAGATAAACATTAGTAGAATTTAAAATCTATTTAAAAATTGTACTGCAGTGATAATTGATTAATTTGTGTTATCGAATGTATCTAAAATTTACGATTATTTTACATTAATGCATTAATTAATTATAAAACATGTGTGTACATATATAATCAGTTATTAAATTTGCAGAGTCCAAATTTCTCTCCGTTTTGGCTGGACCACTAAAAGGCGTGATTGGCTTATCGGATAAAGAAATTTGCGATCTGACGGATTATTTTCGAATTCAGGACGGTCGGATTCTTTATTCGCAATTTTGTGAAATTATTCACGACAGTGGTACGAGCGATTATTAATATAAAAAATTATATAATATGATTATTTATCTGTCTTTATATAAAGTTTATATAAAAATAATTGGAATGATACATGCATAGCATACAAATTTGCAAAATGACAATAATAATAATAATAATTTTTGTGATATTTCTCGTAGTTCCTAATTTTGGAAAAAACAAGACTCTTATGACCGGTTTAGAATGGCAGAATCCGCTGCATGTAAATACTTTGAGTGGCATGGAAACACGAAAATTGAATTTGATTATCACTCAGATCGCCGTGTTGGTGAGCAAAAAAAAAATTGCTCTTCGGCCATATTTTCAAGATTACGAGAAGGTACATTTGATATGATTCATCTATAAAAATATAAATCTTTACGGTTTGCAACATTAATTATTGCAGCTGTAATTTATTCTTTAGTCTTTGTGTATTTGATAAGCCTAATAATTATACGAATACATTGATAATTTAGTTTTGCTTGTAATGTAAAAAAGCATCATCAATTCTATTTTATTATTCAAGATATAATTGTTTACTTCAGAAAAGGATTATTTTGATATAAAATATTAAAAATAAACAAAAGTAATTAAATTGTAAAAATATGAATATTTTATTAAGTTTATTTTATTAAGTACAAATAATAGAGAAGTTTAATAATTTTCGATTCATTCTAATAAGATGCTTTGTAGATCGCGAAGAATGTTGACACAGTTAGTCTCGTCCATTTTGGTCGAATTTTAAAATTTCTGGGCATCGTCCTTGGCGCTGAGGAATTTCGCCTGCTCGTAAAGAGATTTTCCAAAGATGAGTATTTCGTAAATTATGTAGCGTTTGTAAAAGCTGTAGATGAAGTTCAACATTATTTAGAAGGATATGGATTGGTGAATCTCAGTAAGGTATTGTCAGTCTTAGAATCTTTTTTACCTTTATTTCTTCATAATCTTTACATATATACATTTATAATATTTATACAAATAGGGAATTAGAACATTATATGTGTTTTCTGGAATGTATGTTACCTTTAGTTTCTCTGTTACATTTCTCAGGAGTTGCTCGATCAATTTCCCGGTCGAATAATTACGGCCAAACTGCCGAAACTCCCACGACTGGAAATTGGTAAGATTATACCCAGTCAAGTCTTCGATAAGCAAATGGTGTTCCATCCAGTGATGGAAGAGGCGAAAGAGATGCTTCCTACGCTGGAAATCATAAAACGCATCCAGAGGCACATTCTTGAGTACCGCATACGCATCCATGAATTTTTCAAGGTTCTCGCGATCCAATTACGTTATGTATATGAGAATTCAGCATGATAACATTATCTAATTAACGTTATCATGTGTGCTGAATTCCCATATGCGCGCGGATATCAATGAGTCGTTACCCGCAATGAGCTCGCTCGCTATCGCATCCTCCTATTATCATGAGCGTGATATATTAACGGTTTAATCCGTTGATTAAGAACCGAATGATTTGGATCATAGGATTTCGAATATCTGAATGTTGGTCGAGTGACTATCCCACACTTTCGAAGAGCGCTGACCTCGCTTCAGATTTCATCTTTGGGCAGTCTTTGGCTGACTGAACCTGAAATCGATGCCTTAATCGCTCTCTACAAGGATCCAGATGATTCGGATCACGTATGTTGGCGTATATTTGAAGATGATATAGATCAGGGTACAATATCTAAAATAAATGTAAACGTTTTTGATGATATATCCTCAGAACAAACGCTTTTTCTGCTTTAATTATATATAATCGTTCTTTGGGCGTAAAATAAAATGTTTTTTAAAATTTATTTTTTTATAATAATAATATTTAGATTTTTATAAAAATTATGAAACAATTTATTTGATTTAATTGATAATATAATAAAAATGTAATACAATTAAAAGATTACAAACGAATTTTTCAAAAAATATTTAAAGAAGGAAACCGCTTTTTATGTAAATGAGAAATGAATAAAAAATATATATGTTTTGTAATTTTGTTGTGCAAATAAATTCTAGTTTAAAGAATGTTTGTTCTCAGTATATGTATTTTAACATTTTTTTCTTATGTGTGCGCTACCGTTTTTACATTTTATTATTTTAATAGACATTTTCATTTAGTTTAATATTTTCATTTTCATAGTTTTTACCATAAAAGGACTTGATAAATTGCCAAGCCTAAAAGTGGAATCACCACCTCAAGATATAGCTGAATTACCTCGAAAAGGTGTGCAAAGTTGGCAATGCCAACCGAAGGATATAAGAGAACTTTGTGAAGATATCATGCAGAGAATAAGACAGCGAGTCGAAGAAAGAAGAATTCTCTTGAAGCAATTTTTCAAGGATTACGACAAGTATATTCATCTTTAAATAATTGTTAATCAAATAATTTATTTTGACAGTGACTGACGAAAAATTTAAATAAAAAAATGTTATACATATTTAATACAATAAATTGTAATTAAATAATTAAGAAATATTTATTTATTATAACTTTTATTATAATTAACATGTAATAATTTATTTAATACATTCATATACTTTTGGAAAATAAATACGAAAGTAATATTTTAAATTAAAATTGCTTGGAAAAATTACAGTGAATGCTTAATAATTTTCGATCAAAATGTATTGTTTCAGTTTTGGCATATTTCAGTTAATAGTATATTTTGTTTGCCAACATTAATGATGAAAAGATATTAATAATTTTTGAACTTTATGAATTAATTATATATTTGCAGACACAATTGCGGTCATGTGACGCGAATGCAATTCAGACAAGTCCTTATTATGGCGACCATACTCTTGTCTCCAGAAGAAGAGTTTGCTCTGGAAAAAAGATATAACGATGATATGGGTTTTAACTACACTCGATTTTTGCAGGAACTAGAATTCCAACCGATCGTGGAACCTTTATATTATCGCATGTTGGAGGATAAAAAGAGACTTAACGCTGAAAGGCCACCGTCTGAACCTCACGAGGATGAGACCAATATTGTATTGATTTTAGCTAAAATTAAAGCTAAAGTTGTACGCGAAAGAATTAAAGTAATTTATATTTGTTATTAATTAAAGAGAAGTGATTCGAGTCAGAATTAATTTAATAATTTTTTACAACGCGTAGGTCCTCGAATTCATGCGTCAATTTGATAGACACAACCAACTTGTCATTTCGAAGTTTGATTTTATTAGAGGTCTAGATCAGCTTCGTTGCGGTTTAACAACTGCAGAAATAGATACGATTACAGAACTTTTTCAGGCGCCTCTAAAGTATGGAGATATAATATTGACAATAAGAGTCAGTAATTTTAGGAAATAAAATCAGTTAACAGAAATGATAAGAAAATAAATATAAGAACAGGAATAAAATTCAAAAAATAGAAAAAAATAATCAAAGCAAATTAATCCCAAGCGAATTTTATTTTTCGAATTATTTTCTAAACAATATAGTTGCATTCAAAATATTGTTTAATAAATAATGGTTAATAAATTATAAAAATTTTTTAATAAATTATAAATTTTTTTATAAATTATAAAAATTTTAAATGTTTAAACTGAAAAATAAATGTTTATAAAATTTGATATGTTTATTTTTAAATTATTTAATAAATGTTATAAAAATTACATTTATCAAGTTTATTTATGTAATCAATATTCTTTTACTAAATTGTAATACGCATTTATACATATTTTATCAAATTTGGCCAACTTGATAAATATATATTTAATAATGTTTATTTAATGTTTTTTAGAACATAGAACATAGAAGTTTTGAACATAGATAAGCTGCTGGGTTAATATTTATTTTCTTTATTGAAACATTGTCTAATTTTATAATATTATAATTATCGTCATTTATTTCTTCTTTAATTTCACATTCTTATTTCATGATTATCGTATTTCTTTAATTCTGAAGATCCGATTTCATTGAATACACTAAATTCGCGACAATTGTGGAAGAAGCCGTTGCGACTGGGTGTTTGGAAAAAGTTCCTCTTGTGGTTCCCTTGCAACATGTGCCTTCCGAGGCGAATAGCAAAACTTTCCTGAATTTTGACGAACGACAGAAGGTAGCCACCGCGTTGGATAAACTGTGTCAAGTGCGGAGTCCGAACCTGGAGGAAGTCTTTAAAGTTAGTACAGCTGTCATTAAATTATACGTTATACACAATACAGTCATTGAAGAGACAATTATTTATTATGTAAAATGTTTTCTTTTTTTTCTTTTTTTGCAAGACAAAAGAACAATGAGCAAATTTGATAATTATACGTTCTTTAGGATTACGATAAAGAGAATACCGGCACGGTTTCTAAAGGACAATTGATCAGAACATTATCGGTTAGACGAATGCTAGAACTCATCAATAACAATGAGTTGGATGCTATATACAAGTGCTTCTCCATTGAGAGAAATAACCGCTTGGAGTTCAATTATCGAACCTTCCTGTGCACTTTGTATCTGTCACAAGAGAATAAAAAAAAGACCTTATAGAAGGCGTAGATGGCCTATAGATGCAAATTCGGACATTGAGAATATATCTTTGCTGTTATCTATTATACCATAATGTTGTATATTATGTTAAACAGTTTAAGAAAGTGAAATTACAATGCCTTAGTTGTAATAAGGAACATTATAAGTCTCACACTCCTTTGAGTATTGATATATCACGTAGCGAAAAATAAGTAGAAAAAATTATATAATTATATAATTATATGATTTTTAATACTTTTTATACATTAACTTTATTATTCTTACATATTTTTGAAGTAAAAAATATATTTTTTAAAACAAATAAAAATCTCTTTAAAAGAATTTTATGACTATTTAATTAGATAAAGTGTAGCATTAAACATTACAATTTGGACACTACAGCATTCCTTTAAAT